TTTTTTTTTTTTTTTTTTTTTTTTTTATAGGAGCGCGGAAACTGCGGCTTCTAGCTTTTGTTGCTACACTCGTCCGTGCTCTTGCCCCCCACCCCATTAGCGGGTGGAATCGAAGGTTCGGTATTCCGACGCTTGATCTTATTTTTCTTCAACATGGTTGCCTGGAGCGAACAAAGGAACAAGGAGACATTAGTTTTGTGTGCGATTAAGGGAGGGGGATGCATGCGCCGATCGGACACCAGCGGTTGGATCACGCTCTTATGGTGTCTGCGTAGAGCGCTCATGGCAAGTTAGATCTAGCAAATAGTGCAAGTAAAGATGCAAGATCCTGCGGGAAGTCAACGTGCGACAAAGAGATAGGTAACCTCATCGTACTATGCGAAATTCAACAGAGTGGATTTTTTTTTTTTTTTTTAGATGATATATTGTGGAAAATTGGCAAGAAGTTTAATTAATTAATTAAGAAGTCATCGAGGAATATGATCTTTCGTAGTAGCGTTCAAATAAATTCACTTATTCCTTTATTTCTTAAAATTTTGCAAGACTCGACAATTGCTTGACACGTATAAATGCGATATATAGGATAGCATTTGGAGCAGAAGATTGGTAATTTTAATTATATCGAATAATTTTTTAATTTATAGCAATTTGAAATGTTAAAAAAATGTTAAGATAAATGGAATACTTATGAGATAGATTTGAACTTTGAGGAAATGTTATGGCCTTATGATATTGATATGTATATTTGAAGAGAGAACAAATAATTTATAGTTTTATATTCACGATAAAAAGTGATTATTATTTCTCGTGTAGGTGTTTCTAAATGTCAAATCGTAAAAAAAATAGAAGTTGTATCTCAGCTTTCTCCAAATTAAAAGATATATATTTTATTTATATGTCTGTGTGAATCGGTGAGCAAAATAAGTTTGAAAACACATTTTTTACGAAAAGAATCGCGTACGTAAGAAGAATGGAAACCCTTTTTTTATTTTTCAAACTTAATTAAATCCACTCTGTTTGTCCATTTCGATAGAATTATGGGGCCATTTTGAATATCTATGAGAAGATTACCGTCAGTGCCGATTTCAAAACTACGATATCCCCCGGACTCTGGATCCATGGTTCTCCGTCCACTTGTACTGGTATGTCGGAGTACAAATGAATTTTTATATGTCCACCCTGTGGAAATGTTTGACAATATATATATCATTTTTTAATTTGCATTATTTATTATTATTAAATTCTATAATTTCAAGATAAAATAGAAACTTACCTGTGCTATCCTCATCGCTGTACGGAGACCAGATTGAATTTGTCCGAGATGCATAACACCCGTGACTCCGACCACCTCCAACATCCCATCCCCGTGATTCGGTGTTTGAAAGTGGTCTTCCTTGATGTCTGGTCCCCAAGGATTTGCCCCAGAACCCCAACTAGATTATTAAAAAAACAAAATTTGAATCAACAAATTCGCAACTACGGTTCAATATCGTATACTAACTATACCTTAAAATGTTTAGAATAATTATTCCTTCGACTTGAGGTAATTCGACGAGTCTCCCGTCCACTTCCAGTCGTATTTCTTTGTGCAAATCTTTGCACGGTTTCCGTTTTACCATTTTTCGTAAACCCATGGTCACGTACACCCCTTTGTTACGCAATCTGCTTTTAAATTTGTTTGGATTTTCTTCTCTGGCGTTGTGAAAGTCTAAACAAAGATCGGCATCGAGGCCAATACCGAAGTAATTGTTCATCACCAATATTTGCGTATTGTCCTCGCTAGGTGCACCCGCTCCTAGGTGATATTTATTTTAGTTGTAAATTAATCCTTCGTCAATTAAATTTCGATAAAACTCGTTATTAACGTACCTCCCGCATTAGTGGACGATTGCTTGTCCTCTTTCTCCTCCGTGTGACACACCACTGTCCACCTGTCCAACATGGATTTTTCCGCGTCGATCACGTCTCGAAGCAAGTTGAGGGGATCCTCGTCGCCTGTGTAACCGGAACCCCAGCACAGGACACGGGCAAGATCGTTTCCTGTACCAAGGGGAACAATGGCGCAGGCAGGCGAGGAACACTCACTGTCCTGGCCCACGTTATCCAAACACTGCAACACCCATCCTATTGTCCCGTCGCCACCGCAAACCAAGATTTTGTAAT